ACTATCGTCATCATCATCATTGTTATTATTATTATTACTATTAGTAGTAGTATTATTAAACAAACATTTAAAGAAACTTGCAAAAGGATAAAAACGAAAATGGACCACAGTATCGCATTTCTATCATAAAAGACCTGGCCTGAGATTTATGAATTTAAGATTTTTTTAAATCACGCTTAGGCCTATGTGTAACGGGTACTGATGCATATTTACATGTTTAGAAGTATTCATTTTGAGTGATCCCTGGAAAGAATTTGTATTGGCTCAAGAATAATCTTTAAAATTTTAACACTGTGTACAAAGGTGGGGAACCGCAGCTCCCACGGCTCCCTGGATACGTCCCTGGTCTCAAGCAGATTGGAACTGGCCACCAGCTCAAAAAAGTGGATTACCCGGGATATAGTACTACAATCTCTAAAATTTTAATAATTGTTCTGTTCTATCATCATCTACACAGAGTGGTTAACTTTGGTTGCATTATGTTTAATGATATAAGCCTATGTGATCTATATTTTGTTAAGAGAAATTTCAGAAGAACCTGTGGGCAGTGGCGTCACGGAGTTTGTGGTTATTGGGGCCCTAATAAGCGAGCGAAGTTAAGTTTGCGAGCGGAGTGAGACGTTGGGCCACGCAGGGCCCCCGTCGGGGTCCAGGGGGTGAAGACCCCTCGTGGTCAGAGCTTATGGCATTTATAAACTGTTAACTGCGTTGTCAGAGAACATAGAATGGTCCATAACTAATGAAAAATTTCAGACAATGTCATGACAAAGCCAACACAGATCACAAGCGAACTTTCGGAACTGGTACAGTAGGCCATGTACCGTAGGTGTAAATAAATACAGAGAATATTTTAGTGAGAAACAAAACATGTTTTAATAACGTATATACAATGCAAAGCAGATTGATTACAATATCAGAAACAATTAAATGTCAAACATCAAAACTCAGCTTTTATTTTTTTAAACTGTCGGGCCCATTGAATAAAACTGGTATTGTAGTTTATATTATTTTTTTGAACTACAATGTCGGGCCCTTCTTGTCTGGGGCCCTGGCGCCCCCCCCCCCGTAAGCGCCAGAGCGTGACGTCAATGCCTGTGGGTTTTAATTAACTGTCTCTTATGACTACTATTCATTTCATGTGATTTAATTAAAAATTAATTGAACACGCAAAAGCAAACACTCATAAGATCAAATGTACGCCTGTTAAAAATACTAACCTAGCCCGGTACAGCCTTTATCGAATTCAAATGCAGAATAATCCAAAAGGATTAGAAACAAAATTCGGATGAAGAATTGCAACGGTAACATTTCTCTCGGTTGGTTGTCGTTGAAATAAAGACATACCGTAGTGCGTTCTTCGACGACTGACGATGAGAGTTGATGTCCTTCTCAGCAGAGGGCAAACTTCCTTTTACAGTACTGTACTGTAAAGTATTTGCTATTTCACCAATTGTTTATTCTCCCTCTTTGACGAGAATTAGTAGGCCTAGTTATTCGGAATCACGTTTGTTACAGTGACACACATCAAATTAATGGTGCATCCAAAGTAAAATCAATAACAATGTAAGATTGTAATTAGATTTAGAAGACTTGCGGACCGCAAGCAAAATAAAAGTCAAAATAAAAGTCCTTGACCAAAATATTATTATATAAGTTGGCTAATGCATGATTATCCACATTAAATACGTTATAAGACGCGCTGCAAGCGATTTTTGAACTGGTGGCCTGTCTTAATAATCAATGTTTAATACACTTAACAGGCAATTAAAAAGTACTGCTCCAGACAAAGAAAGACCTGGGCCACCAATCAGGTGTCTATAAAGCGCAATTTGGTTTTTGCTACAATGTATAATTCTTATTTAAAGTATTTTTATTGTTACTCCATGCTTTTTTTATGTTGATTTTAATATATTTTTTAAGATTGATTTAATGTATTTTTTCAGATGATTATAATGTATATTTTAATACTGATATAATGTAGTTTTTAATGATTGATTTTATAAATTTCGTATATAATGTATTTGTTGTAAATTGATCGTCGGGGGGAGTGGGTGGGCGTGGTTCCCCTGCCGCTTGGACCCTCCCCCCCCCCAGATCCCAGCCAACTGGTATAGTCACTCACGCATTTCAAATCGCTCAGGTTGATAACTATGAATAAACAATCAACAAACTACCGGGTTGCTGGTTAATTTGCAAGGTACTACATGGCTCAACAATTATTTACTTAGGAGTTACCGTAATTTGTAAAAATCGCACACAAATCATACGACGTTACTGACAACGCCGGGGACGGCAACTCGATTTTGAGATGAATTTTCCGAATAAATAAATTCTAATGACGAACTATTGCCTTCAGTTGTCTTTGTTGGTCATTCATCTGTCATTTTATCTATTTTTTCGGTGATATTACCATTCTCATTAATCTATAAAACACCCACATAACAACGTCACGTTAGATCATTCAGTGGGGACGCCGTGGTGACGCCGGTAGGGTCAATTTTCTTCGGAAGGTATCAAGATGATAAACAGTTTCATTGGACTAAATTCTTTCTTATGTTAACCACATGCTTACCTAAGATTATACTGACACTGGTTTCAAATGAAATAACTGACAACTTTTGGTTTGTATCAATGTTTTAATAAGTACATAAAACTATGTCACAACGTACGCAAAAATGCTGTTTTTGTATTTTTCTTGAAATCTGTATGCGTGATCACCATCATCTTACACAGTATAATAGATTCAAGTAAGATGTTTCAAATGATATAAAAATGTATGCAAACTTACCTTTGGAACAGGATTCTTTTTCGAGTTTTATTTACCTTAACGTCGATTCCGTCTAGAAAGCACCAGGATTAATCACGCCAGTATTAATCACCACGCTGTTTTTGTATTTTGCTTGAAATATGTATGCCTAATCACCATCATCATACACAGTATAATAGATTCAAGTAAGATGTTTCAAATGAAAATTCATCGTAGCCATTAATTATTATCAATACGGTCCCGGCGTCATTCCTTGAATCGGGGCGGTACGTATACTACCGGTACTTTACCGCTTGAGTTCACGATGTAAACATGCCATGGGTCATATCATGTAAAGATAATTTTTTTCGAATTATAATTTGTATTTTTAAGGTATTACTAGAGACATGTCACTGCATTCAACAATTATGTGGATATTCATTGTACTGTTATACTATTAACTACTTGCCCCGGAGTCACTAATTTTTTAATTGATTTAATATGCACAATTTGGGAAAGTACACCTGACCCCACCATGGTTGGGGCTGAGGAAAGAAAATTTATGATTGTGACACCTCTAGATTGCCAGAAATGGCACTCTCGTACCTAAATTTTAAATATAATTTTGCTTTTGTTTTTTCTATTTAAAAAAAAATAATTTTGAAAAATTTAGGGTTGGTTCGGACACACTTGAATTCGCCACTGATTATTATGACGTCATTGCGAGATTGCGTCAACGTAACACATGGATTTTGTAAAATTTTGGTATCACTATATCGAAATAGATAGACATGTCCGTGTCAAAGGCTGTATAATTATTGTTTAATAATGGCTATATAAAATTCAGTTGATTAACTATAATTTTTTTTTTTGAAATTAGGAAAAATAGTAATCCTATGTATGTAGATAATATTAAACACTAGTATATACTACGTACGGGTCATAATACCGTAATATACAAAAGGAATAAATCGTTTATAGTAGAATATAAATGAAAGAAAAGAAAGGGTCACATGAGAAAGATCAAGGAAGGAAAATGAAGGTACAGGAGAAAGAAAAGAGAAAGAAAAGATAAGGAAACATAAGAAAGACAAAGAAAAGGAAAAGAACAGGAAACTTAAGAAATATGATGAAAAGGAATGGATAATGAATCATAAGAAAGAAAAATGAAAGAATAGAAAAGGTCACATGAGAAAGAACAAGGAAAGAAAGATAATCTGACATGAGAAAGTAATGAGAAAGAAAGATAAGGCAGCATAAGAAAGACAAAGAAACGAAAGTACAGGAGAACTAAGAAAGATAACGAAAAGGAATAGATAAGGTTACATAAGAAAGAAAAAATGAAAAGAAAAGGAAAAGTCACATGAGAATAAACTAAAAAAGAATGATAAGGTAACATGAGAAAGGAATAGACTAAAAAAAAAAAATAAAAAAAAAAATAAAAAAAAATAAAAAAAAAAATAAAAATATAAGGAAACAAGGAACACATCAGAGTATAGTTAATATATTATTTGTGGCCTAGGCCTAGCCTAGACCAAAAACTAGAGCATACATGCCAACATCTTGATAGTCAAAAACGGGATAATTTTGGCGCAAAGCGCCCCAGAGACCTTGGCCTGTAGGGGGTCCATATAAGCTTTAGCTATTTAATTCTTATGATGTGTACTCCAATAATAAAGCTATTGATTTTAACTTGCGTGTTTAAAGCCCCATTTCCGGCAAAATTTCAGTTGTTAAGAAAAATCTGATTTTTGTATAATGTTATAAAGATTTATAAATATAATACGGAATTGCTAGTTTAACTGAATTTACAGTAGACATTCCTAAGAATGAAAAAAATGTAAAAAAAGACTGAAATTTGATTTTTTTGTGTTCCACACAAAAAATAAATGCGGATGAGTTTTTCATGTTTGATTTTGCGATAGGTCGTGAGAAGAAATATCGTAGGCGCCGAAAACATTAGCCTATCCAATGCTGCTAGGCTAGGCCTAGCCTTACCTCTATTTAGGTTCTGTTATCACACATAAAAACGGCCGACATGATATTTTCCGTTGCTAGTATTGACACTTCTGAAATATAATATTTCATAGGAATTATTTCAAATTTGTTAAAAAACTGATTCTAACTGAGATTTCGACACTTAAACAAACATATCTCAGCCATTCCATGATTTATAATAATTGGAGTAATGCAAATGCATATTTTCTAAAAAAAGGTCAGTTTTTAGTGAAATTTTACCGGGAATGGGGCTTTAATATTGTCAAATAAATTGTCTTGTGTCGTACGTTGTCTGTTGTCTTGTTGTACAAGATCTAAAATCTGAATTCAATACTTGTCATAAAATGTGTTTTTCAATGGGCTAAAATTAATACAGGTAATTACTGGGCCGGTATTTTAACAACTGTAACTTCATTTCTAATTATTAACTTAAGGTCTTGTCTAGATACGTCATTATTCTTTATACACAAGTATTCTAGGTCTAGTCATAATTATTATTGACCTTAATTTAAAAATGGTTTCAGACAGACTGCACTACTCACAGAGAGACGATAATATCTCGCCCAGCAAAATTGAAATATAACGTAAATATTGAGATTTTTTGTAGTATTTTATTGCAAAAATAGGAAAAATTAATATACAGAATAAGTACATCTATGAAATTTTCTTTGTAAACCAGGATATTATTTGTGAAAAAATGTGAGGAAAAAATTGCCTGGAGTCAGGTCACCGAAACAGGAGTCTTCTGGCCAAAACGGCAGTGTTGGCATGTATGTAATAGTACTAGTAGGGCCTAAACCCAGGCTGTAAATTAAGGCAGAAGTTAGGCCTAGAAATTTGTCTGCGCATTTCGAAAAAAAAAAGGCCAATAAAAAAAAATTCTTGTGTTGTCAGTAGGAAAAGTTTAAAAAAAAATTTTTTTTTTTTACCAAAAATTGTTTATGCCTAAAGAGTAAAATATACACAAAAATAGAAGAAAGAAGAAAAGCAAAACCATCGCATAACTCTGTCGCATCGCCTACCATTGCAAGGTAGGCTTATTCCAGCCTTTTTAGTTCATTAATAAAATATTTTTCGATGCAAGAAAAAAAAACTCAATTTCGAACATTTTGGGTCGGTTGGGCATGGCCAACACAATAACTTTGTTTTTATTTGCCCTAAGGGCCTATTTCTAAGCAGATTTTGCCAAAATTAGGCTTTGATCCAATATTAATAACCAATGCGTTCAGTAGGTGGTAAGGTGAGACCTTTTCTATACCTTGTTTAGCGAACCTGACGCCCGCCAATAATGATGATTTCAAATATCAATAAAATTTTATTTTTGGCCAATGAGCCCACCCGCCGCCATGGAAAAATGTAAATTTCTGAAAAATATAAAAGTTTTCTTTATTTGAATTACGGCCGCTGCTGCCGTGAATAGAGTGTTAAACTGTCATGTCTTTGACCAAATTGCAAAAACAAAACCCACCATATTTACATTGATTTTTTTTTTCATTTCATTTGTTGAACACTAACAGTTTTAAATCATCAATAATGTAGTTTTTCTCCGTTTTGTTAGATGCAAAATTTAGCCGATACTTTTTTTATACCATTTTTTGTGAACTTATTTTTTAAAGATCGTCAGAGGAGGGCAAAAAAAAAAATGTAAATAAAATTTTGGTTTTTCATTTAGCAAAGAGTTTTGCTAAAATATCCAGACGGAGGAAAAAATAAAAATTTTCTGAAATTTCCATATTTTCATGGCAGTGGGTGGGTTAAATGGCCAAAAATAACATTTTATATTTTTTTCGAAATCATCATTATTGGCAGGCGGTGAGTTTGCTAAACAATGTATAACAAAAGTCTCGCCATTTCAATCTTTCAACAAAAATAAGGTTCGGCTTTCGTTCTAAATAAGACATAAAAATAAGCCAATACAACAAGTACAGTTCTATTAATTAATTGTGAGATCAATTTAGTTAAATTACAAACTATTTTGCAGTTAAAGCAATTTCAGCAGAAGAAAACACCATCCAACTCACCAGCGCCGAAGAAGTCATCATCTGACAAACCAGTGAGCATTAGCAACTCATTGGCCAATGATGTCAGTTCCACAAATTCAATTGATGGATTTGAAAGCTTTGCCACTGCCCCCAGAACCCCTGTAAGTAGAGTCCTCATTTAAATATTAATCATGATAATAATAATATCCACTTCATTTTTCTCCTGTGTTTCAAGAAGAAAGTGCTGTTTCAAACTCATGAATGAGAGTGAACTATGTGTTTTCATACCCAGTGGCGTAATGCTGGAGGGGAGGGCCCTGTGGATTTCTGAGATTGGGGGTCCTTTTTTTCGGTCGCCACGGCCAATTCCATTGTGTAATTTAGATGTGTTTTTTTTAATTATTAATCGTGTTTGCCATTGTATTATAAATGTTTTATAACAACGAAATAAATAATGACATCAGTGGCGGATCTAGTAGGAATTTGAAATACGGGAAGCAGGTGGGAGGGACCATACACATCAGCTCCACCATGGTTGGGTCTGAGATAAGAAGTTTTATGATTATGGCACCTCTACATGTCTGGAAATGGCACTCACAGACTTAAAATTTCAGTATAATTTTTTTTTATCTCCATATGTAGGAGTCCCCTTTAATCCATCACTGGATATGATATGTCCTTCACAGTCGATGTCAGAGACACATTATGTTGTTATGTATCAACAAAGCTCTTTTGGGTCAGGGTGCTAGATCAAGGACACTATTTGTAGGGGCCTCTTTGGGGTCCTTAGGAGTCGGGGGTCCTGCGAACCACCGCACAAGAGCGTGTTGGCGTTACGTCACTGTCATACCCTTCTTTGCATTACAACTGCTCCAAAAACCCCTTGCTGTTATGCACTGTAGATAGATGTCCAACAATTTAATAAGTTCTCTGAGAAAAACATATTGTCGTCACCAAAATTCAACCCCTGATTACTATTCGATTGATCTTCCAATTGAGCTATGAGGCCCCATTTTTTTTAAAGGTAACTGTAATGCATAATGTGCGATATATTGATAAATCACATGATATATGTGGCAAAGACAAGCCAAACCAGTCACTCGTCGCAAAAAATTGATTTTGAGTTATTAATACAGTGTTAGAGCCTAAAATAATAGCTATAAAATGGTAAAAAAATCATTAAAATCGGACATTTCCTTATGAAGAGTTTAAACATACAGCTGTTTAAAGAACAATATATGAGAAATGAGCCTTCAAAGTTTATGATTTCAGGCATTACTCATGCAGAAACTATCATCAAATCCTTAAAAAGTGTTGTTTTAACATTGAAAATGGGGTAAATAACAGCATAGAATGATGTATAGATATGTAAAGATTAGTTTAGTGCAATAAAATAGATTTTTAAAAATTTGACATTCCAGCATGTTTTGGCCATTTTCTCTGAAACACGATTTGCGACGAGTGACTGGTTTGGCTTTTCTTTGCCACATATATATTTCAGAGTGCTTGACACTTATCTAAAATGGTATTTTATCCTATTTTACAGGCTACACATTCAGGAGATCAAAAAGTACAACAGATTTTGCCTTCAAACAGGTTAGTATATATCCGTGTATCCATACTACAACTACAAAAAAAAAAAAAAGAAACAGTCTCAAGAAACAGTACTAATCAAAGATGCAATTTTATTTAAAGATTTATAGTCTGAAGAAGAATTTTACATTTGTTTGATTTTTGATATATGATGATAATGTGTTCTTGTATCTGGTGTGTGTTAAGCTAATCAATTCAAATTTGAGTTGCTTACTTTGTATATGTACATTAATTGAAAATTAGAGCAAGAAATATTTTCTTTGCCAGTAAACATAAACATATAATGATCCTTGATTTTTGTGTACCTTAAACAGGCTGCTAATCAAGTTTTAATTTTAAGATTATTATAGTAAAAGGTGTGTCAAAAGCAGAAAAAAAAAATTCTCTCTTTTTTTGCATGAGCACTGTGTTGCTTTAATTTGAATTTGTTATATCACAAATTTTCTATTATTCTGTTGGAACACATGTGGAACACAAATGAAATATATATATATATATACTGTCTCTTAATAATAATCAATAATAATGTCAAGTTTATGCAAATTGCTAGCTAGCAAAAAAATTAGCTAAACTGTTTGCTTCCCTCTCAAGTTTCTTGAATGTACTTGAGCCTAGAGTGGAGGAAATTGTAGACTGACACTTGGGATTAGAATTATCCATACGGCTAATACAGATGTCTGACAATATCATGAATTGATATTTGAGTCCAGCCTTCCTACAAAATATAATAGTCATCCCTTCAAATTCATGCAATATATAATATGTACTATTTTCATCATGTGATAGTTACTAACTTTATTACAAATAAAAAAAAACAAAAAAAACCAGTTGAACTTTTCAAATTTGGCGAATTAATACAGTAAATAGTGTATACAGTTGTGACCTGACGTTTGACATGGATGGAGATTTCCTCAGAGAGAGGATCAAATGGACAGAAATATGTTACATGAAAGTAAATTATGTTATTTAACATGTGCATTTTTAATTGATTGATTGATTAATTGATTTTGATTTTCAGACCAATCTCTTCAAGTGAAACATTAAGGCAGATGAAAAACCAATTGAACGGATTGGTCTCAGAGGTTTGTGAATAAGAGTCTTATATACAGTACTTAGTCAATCTGCTTATTCAGTGTTTATGAAATAGTGAATGTTTTTGTTCTACCATGTAGTAGACACATGATAGACACTATGTTGGCTGTTATTCAGATTTAAATCATGCAAACATGCAGAATTGTTTTGTCACAACTAGAAATATCTTCAGCTTTTCTTATATACTGTTTGTGTTGAGTAAAATGGTCTACCTAAATGATGATATATATTTTGCTTTAAATAACAGGCTTCACTTCTTAATGGTGGTGATACTAATGATATGGATACCAGTATTCATGATTTGGAGGTGCGTACAGAAACTAACCGTACAACGACAATTTATTTTTTATGCTTTCACATACTGTAACATGCAAGTAATTGAAAATATTACGAAAAATCATAGACACTATTTATAATTAACAATTGTGGGAACATACAATAGTTTAATTATATATAATTTAAGTGTAGTTATAAATAAGCAGGGAAAGAGAGGCCTGACCAAGAATGATAAAAACAATTGTTCACTATTTGTTATGTATTGAATTTTTATAGCAACGGAATCAAGAGTTAGCAGCATCATTAAATGAAAAATGTCAAACCAACTTGCAATTATCATTCCTGTGTGAAGAAATGGTATGTAAAAGTGTCTTAAATGAATTACAACACAATAGTGATATATGGTAGGGATGATGAATAGGAGTTGATGGAGAGGAGGAGGAGGATGGTGATGATTAGGGGAAAATAATAAAGAGGATAATAAGGAAGATAATGATGAGAGGCAGTAAAGATGTGAAAAGGTTGTGGTGAGGAGAGTATTGATGGGCAGGTGAGAATAACATGATATATTTGGACGGAAATGGTAACGATGATGATTATCATACAAATACGGCTATGATACAACAAAGATTATGATACAAATTAAGATATGATTCGAAGGATATTGAGGATGGAAATAATTATATTGACATTGGTTTTGATGAAAAGGATGGTGGAGCTGTAGTGAGGATGTGGTGTCACTGTGATAATGATGAGGAGAGTGGTAATGACAAAAAAAAAAAGAGGATGGTAAAGAAAATGATGATACTGCTGGTAATGAAAATTATAGAGATTGTGTCAACTAAATTCGATATTTTCAATGTACTTTGCAGAAAACACAGTGTAGAAGCATTCAAGAACAAACACAGAAGGTATTCAAACAAAGTATTTATTCTTGTAGTATAAAATATAATCTAAGCTCAAATTAATGAATGTTATAAATATTACTTCCTTTGAACCAATAAATACTGTAAAACTATTTGTTACATTAATATAATTATATTATTACTGTAAACGAATTGATACACAAACAATCGAAGGGAGTAGCCATCGATTCATAATTTAATGAGAGAAAGCATTTTATATCTGTTGATTCTGTTATACCAGGAGAAGGAGGACATTCTGAATTTGTCACAGAAGGAGCAGAGTGCGTTGAAGGAACAGCTTCAAGTTCATATACAAACTATTGGTATATTAGTTTCCGAGAAGTCAGACTTGCAATCAAACTTAAACCAAAGCTTTATGAGCTTACAGCAAAGAAATGGTAAATATGCTGGTTTCCCTCATCCATTCTCTCATGCAAATAAAATGAAAAATCAAATTCTATCATTTCCACATATTGCCAGTACCATCATCAAACTATTTCATTTTGAAGAATATAGAGTTGATATTTTGTATTTTATTGCCTCTGTATACAACACCTAAAGGGCAACATTACTCAAGGAACCTTATATTATAAGGGAAATTATATTGTCCAATCAAAACACATCAAAAATTTTCAAAAATATTTGGTACTATTCAAATGCTCATATTGCTCATATTATATATTCCACATAATTCCAATTACAAAAATAATCATTTGACATCAAAAATTGTTTCTATCCATATAAGTACAAGAAACACAAAAACAATATAAAAAAATATGAGCCTGTAAAAAATATTGCAATTGATGATTTGAGTTGTGTTGCTTATAATTTTAGGTAAAACAATAATGTGAAATATTGCCATCAATCTGTTCATTGTTTTTTTTTTTTCAGAGGAGATAAATAATCTGAGTAGTCGACTGGAAGCCTCAAGACAAAGGGTGGCAGACCTTGAGCGCGACTTTGCCAGTGCTCACAACAGTAGTCAGCAACTTCAAAGGGTAAGATTATTAATTAATTAATTATTTATATAGTTATATTAATTATCTATATGAGCAAGCAAAATGGTCGATCGGTTAAGGCAGGGGCACCGTGATCATAGCCAAAAATATCGGCACGGGTTTCGCGGCCGGCTCGCTCCTATAGTTCTGGTGGTGGAACAAGTCTTCTCCGATGAGGACTATAAACCATAGGCCCAGTGTACACAAATGCTTATGTGCACTTTAAAGAACCCAGTACATCTTTCGAGAAGAGTAGGGGGTTACCCTGGTGTAATGGTTCACTCGGCGCCTGTCGTCGACAGATGAAAGTGCGCCGGTTTACTGGCTGCAGAGGACATGAATTGACCCTCAGGTGTGGAAAAAGTTATTGAAAAGTGCAACATCTAGTCCCGAGCGCATAGAGAAATTGTTTATTTGAGCTATATAAATCCATCTATTATTATTATTATTATTATTTAATTGCATTTTTACAAAAGCTTTAGTCCAATAAAATGTAAAGGTAGTCCCATATTCATTATTGCACTTAGGGGAATGAGTTGTTAGCCCATCGTACTAAGCCTCGTTATTGTGTGGTAGGGTGGCCAATTCCTTTCCACGCCACCTTTTTTCTTCCCCAGTAGTGAACAACCGGATACCCATTTATACTCCTGGGTAGAGAGAGAGAGACAGACGTAGATGAAGTGCTTGCCCAAGGACACAAGCAACTTGCACAGTGAGAGTTTCAAACCCCTGACCTCAAGGTTGGGAGTCAAATCTATAACCGATGCGTCAACTGCGTAGCCTAATATAAAAAATATTTAATGTAAAATGATTCACTGACCAATAAAAATTCTATAGATATGTATGTGTTTTTTGGACAATTTATAATTTAAGTTAAACACCTATTAAGGGGACACCTACAGGACCAAAATGAATGTCCCCTTAAAAGTTAGTGTCCCCTGAATTGGGGTTGGCCATAGTGTTAAAAGATATATTTTCTCTCATTTGTGTCCCCTTAGTGGGGATGTCCCCTTAATAAGAGTTTTCCTTTAATAGGGATGTCCCAAAGGAGGGTTTCTACTGTATCTTGTAAGGTCATTTTAATGTATTTTGCTGCATGCTGAACTATTTTTTTTTTCTCTTTTGATTTTTGTAGACAAGGTTAGATCTTGATCAGGAAAAGGACCAATTAAAAGCTGAAGTAAATCACTTAAGGTGAGTAGTTTATATACAAGTATATAAATACAATTGTCATACCCTGACCTCACAATTTTTTTTGAAAACTAACCTTATTCTTTATTGAAATGGTAAAGTTAACCTGTATCTGTATTGACTGTGTTTTTCCACATAACTTGGGATTACTTCTTCCATTTTTAATACTTGGGTGTAGAGTTCCTTGATTAAATTTCTGGGGTGTGAAACAAAACAAGCATAAACAACAAAAATCTGAAGACTTGTTTCCAACAGGATCTTCCATTCCTGGATATGATAATACATCTGGAGACAATCCCTGTTCCTTTCTGAATATTATTCTGTGTTTTTATCGTACACATGAAAGGGTTTTCATATACAACACTACACCTTTACTGATGTATGCTTATTCATGTACTAATTAATTTTAATTTATTTTTTGGAATAGAAATATTAAGGAAGAATTGTCTCAGCAAAATTCTGAATTAGTTAGTGAATTAAGAGCTACGGTAAGTTCATTATTGTATTACTGTATTAAATTAAAAAGTATAGTATAGATAGATAGTACTGTTTATTAATTTTGTTTGGTTTGGTAATTTATGCATGCATTTTCTTTTAGGTTTCTGAAAATAAAAATTTAAAAGCATCGCTTCGTGATTTACAAAGCCGTTTGAACATGGCTGAATTAAGAGTGCAACAACTTACTAACCAATCAGAACCAGTCAACTATCAACAAGATCTGCAGAGGGTACAGGAAGACAAAATTGCTCTTGAACAGAAAGTAGCTCAGGTAGGCAGAAATTGTATCTAAATTTACATTTTAGTAGCTCAAGTAGGCAGAGGTGTTATTCATTCTGCATTTTAGTGGATCAGATAGCTAGAGGTGGTACTCACTTGCATTTCAGTGGATCAGATAGGCAGAAGTGGTAATTGTACCCAATTAGTTCAGGTAGGCAGAAGTGACTCACTTGCATTTCAGTGGATCAGGTAGGCAGAGGTGATACTCGCTTTGCATTTCAGTGGATTAGATAGGCAGAGGTGATACTTGTCCTCTATTAGTTAAGGTAGGCAGAGGTGGTACTCGCTTTGCATTTCAGTGGATCAGATAGGCAGAGGTGGTACTCGCTTTGCATTTCAGTGGATCAGATAGGCACAGGTGGTAATTGTACCCAATTAGTTCAGGTAGGCAGAAGTGACTCACTTGCATTTCAATAGATCAGATAGGTAGAGGTGGTACTTGTACCCAATTAGTTCAGGTAGGCAGAAGTGACTCACTTGCATTTCAGTGGATCAGATTGGTAGAAGTGGTAATTGTACCCAATTAGTTCAGGTAGGCAGAAGTGACTCACTTGCATTTCAGTGGATCAGATAGGCAGAGGTGGTACTTGTACCCAATTAGTTCAGGTAGGCAGAAGTGACTCACTTGCATTTCTGTGGATCAGATAGGTAGAGGTGGTACACACTTTGCATTCCAGTGAATCAGATAGGCAGAGGTGGTACTCATTTTGCATTTCAGTGGATTAGATAGGCAGAGGCGGTACTTTAGTAGTAGAATCATGCTAGAAAGCATGATTCTAACACCCTAGTAGCTCAGGTACTTTCTCTTAAAATCCAGTAGCTTAATTAGATAGCAGAATCATTGCATTAGTTCTAGCAACAAAGGTGGTGCTTATACGCCAGTAGCTAAGGAAGGTATGGATTGTACTAAGTATGCAGAAATGGCACTGAGCCAGTGAACTTATGTAGGTAGAGATTGTACTTATATTCCAGCCGCTCAGGAAGGCATGGTAACTCAGTTCTTGCACTATTTGTTGTGAAAATATATTTTGCTGGTATTTACCAATACATTACTTATTAACCTCGCTGTATTTATTTCAGTACCAACAATCATTGCAACAACTGACTTTGGAGAGGGAACACTTGAATCAACAAAGCCAACTACAAACCACTCAACTCATGCAACAACTACAGCAACTGGCCTCACAGGTAAGACCGGACCACTTGCTTGACCATGATAGATTATACATTATTAGCATTATATATCTAGTTATGATGGTGGTCATATGATGATGATACTATGGTGGTGGTGGTAATGATGTTGATGGTGAAGGAAATGGTGATAGGGGTGCTTTTGTTGGTGGTGATGATGATGGTTATCTTGACGGTAGTTGTTTTGATGGTGTTGAAGGCTATCGTGATAGTAGTGGTTATGATGATTATTATCATCACCACCGTTATCATAATTTTGTCCAGTGAGCTTTATGGTGACTATGAACATACAGATTATCAGTATTATGTACTTATTTCATTACATTACATTTACACACTACAACTCTTCTTTTTGCAGACCAATTCATTAACAGAAGAAAGAGAACAATTGATTACCAATAGTCAGAGTTACCAACAACAAATACAAAAATTAAAAGAAGAAATGGGTAAGTTTTACCAGTTAACAAATCATAGCACAGAAACAAACAATAAGAAACTTTGATCTGTGATAAAAAACATTTATAATTTTCTGTTCTTCATGCAGAAGATCTTAAATTACAACAAAATACCAGCAGAAATAGTGTAGATGAAGATGAACTTCGACATCACATAGATAGGATACAGAGACTTGAGGAAGAGAAGCATGCTCTGGACCAGCAATATAAAGCACAGGTGAGTTGATTTTGTATAGCAAGTAGCTAATATATTACCGTAAAAACTTGAATAGAAGCCGTGAGCTTCATCTTTTTTCTATTACCCTTGGATTTACTTCTTGTCGAGATGGGCTTCTTTTTGAGATTACTTTTGCAAACAAAAGAGGGGGCTTCTTTACAAAATGAATAAATTTTAACCATGCCAATACAATAAAAAAATATTGATACTGACATGCTATCATAATAATCAATGATAACATCAGTGTGAATGTATGTACTTTCTCGTAAGAAGTCCATTATCTTTATTAGAAACCCTTGGCCTTCTTTTCGATCCTGATATTGATCCCTTAACTTTTAATCATGTTCAGTCCGTAAATCTCTATTTCATCAGGTGAATGATAATGCTCAGCTGAGTAAACTATGTGGAGAAGCGGAAGAACGTCTGCAAGGGTTGGAGAGTGAAGTGATAACATTACGAGAAGAGGCTACCAATAGAGCCTCACTTCTGGAGAGTGTACAAGGTGATAAAGCAACCATTAGTCGAGCATTATCACAAAATAAAGAATTAAAAACACAATTACAAGAACTTCAAAATGCCTTTGTAAAGATGGTAAGTAATAGTAGTGGCAATATATTAATGACTGCTTTTATTTTATCTTTAATATTTTCATCGTGGAGATTTGATTTTAGCACATACAGTTATAGGAAAGGAAAATTACATAGAAAAACACTAGAAAAAAAATGCAGAAGATTTTGATATACCAATCAAGCTTAGTTCACATCGAGGATGTATTGTAACTAAACAGGATAAGGATAAATTGAAGATTGAAACTATTGCTTTCCACACTGTTTTGAAGTCTGTCAGTTTCAATAAACACATGATATTGTGTTCATATCATTAAAATGTATGTTATCTCAATATGCTTTTATAGCTAAATAAGGATTTTGTTGGCTTCCTTTAGAATTCTTCATATGTGCTTTTGATATATTGTTTTTATGGGCCTGTGAATTTTATCCTAGCTAGAAGAGTTACTTTATATAGCCATGCCATCTTAATACAAATTTAAATGTCTACTTTTTTTATGTTATTTTTTATTTCTTGAATATAATAGAGTAATGATAACATGGAACTAACCACCAAGGTGCAAACCGAAGAGCATGTAAATAAGGAACTTGGAAATAAGGTAGCTGAATGTGAAGATTATATAAACAGTGTCAAAAATCAGGTGAGATCTGTCAAGTCACTCCTTTTAATTTTATTTTGTTGATCTTCTTGTTCTGTCGCTGTCCATGAGCTTCTTGCAAAAGGGAAAGGAGCTTAATATAGTTCAATTTAAGATAATGATGTAATGTTTTTTGCACTAGTTGATAACTAGTCACAGTAAACTTTGAACCTGCATTTATATTTCTATACCTGCTTAATGCATTAGCATTTTAAGCTATCCATCTGTTATCTGTCATGTAATTATATAGATATCTCCTTATGTATTGTTATTCATTATTATTAATAGTAATGGCCATTGTCTTGATAAATCTGCCTGCTTTTCTTAAAAATACAAATGTATTTACTAATACTCTATAAAAGGCATATATTAACATGTTAATTTATCTCATGTTTTCGATAAACTTGTACTGTTGATTTACAGTTAAGAATAAAAGAGAGTGAAACTGAACGACTGAAAGCATATACCTTTGAACTCAATAAACAGCTGATGCAGCAGTCTCAGATACAAGATCGCATACAACACTACGAAGCACACGGCCCAATAAAGGATACACTAGAAAAAGAATTAGCTGACACACAGGTAGCAACTTCTGCATACGTGTATCCAAATTTTAAGCAGAAATACAAGGATAGGGTTTGGTGGTTGATAGTTTATTACCATAGTAGTTAAGAGATTTTAATTAAGTCAAGCAATCCTTGTATATCCTAGCCTAGAAACCTAGACTCAGAATTACCAGGATGGTGTCTGATGGGGATAGTTTATTACCATTGTTCATAACGTGAATTGTGATTAATTATAATACGTACAGTATTGTGTATGTTTGTTTGTCTGTTTTTATTTTTAATCTATAGCAGGATACAAAATACAATAAGTGACAGAAAGTGAAATAGTGATATAAAAACAACTATTTAAATATAATGAAGTGAATGGATAGATTCAGGACAACCCAATTAGTTTCTATTGGGTTCCCTATAAAATGTTTCAAATATAGTAAATATGGATTTACATATGGCATATTGTGTATAATTTCTATAGATTGATTGAAATCATAAAAGTAAATGAATGAATGAATCAGTAATTTGTGCAGAAGCTCAATACATTGAATTCTTATACTACTAGAAAAGCCTCTATAAAACAAAAAGGTGGGAGTGTGGAGGTATTGAATTATTTCTATCTCTATTGTTCAACTTCAATTTGATTCTTTACTGTATAGTTTGATGAAAATTGCAATAAAGTATTTCATATTTCAGCAAACAAAACATTAAAAAAATTAATCTCTAATTTTACAGGAAAAGATGTCAAAAGTTTTAACGGAAAATAATCAACTGAAAGTATTACTTGAGAACCAGCCTCACAGTATGCATGACCATGGTCAAGACCACCCTGATTCAACTGTCAATGATGACATTGCTAGGGATGAAATGGTAGGTGATTAATTGGGTACCCATCCTCTCGTAAGTTGCAGAAGTCTCCCAAAAATTGGGACGGTCTCCTGCACTCTGGCGAGCAAGTACAAATCTTCTGGAAACCAACCCATCTTCTGCAAATTCATAATATTTGCATGGTTTTACTACTGTATTATCAATAGTTTACCGAACGGCTATCACAGTAAAATAATGTTAGAAGAATAGAAAAGCTTATTTAGCCCTTTTTTTCTTTTTCCAACATGAGTCAAATCAGCAATGAAAATAAACTTTATAATAATAATTAGTTCTACTGGATAGGGCCCTGAGAAAGATGCAAGCCAGGTTATGTTGTAAAAAGAAAAGTTTTTAGTGTGGTTTTGAAAATGTCTATTGACATGTCTGATATGCTCTGGTATACTAGTTTTCTAGAGATGAGGCACTGACAAAACAAAATCTCTCACCATAAGAACCTGTTGATTTGCCAGGAACATGAAGAAGAGCTTGGAATGAAATTGATATAAAATACTGTCGTCTGTGATCCTGACTATTGTCTTATTAATTGGAAATATCAAACACATCTATTAAAGTACAATTCAAAAGAATGCTTGAATTATGAACATTAAAAATTAATGTAATTGAATAGATGTAATTTGATGTTCTGAAATTCCAACCTTAGTGATGATTTAAGTAAAGCGATGAATTGATCTGGAATATTGTGTCTTAATTCTGTTTTTTTAGGTGAACACACTATCTGCAGCCATCAGGCAGCTTGAGATGGAACGAGATGAACTCTCACAATCATTCCTTGACCAGAAGGAGCAGCACCATCTGCTACTGGAACAGATGGAAGAAATTCAACATCAACAAGCACAAGGTACACACCAACTAGATTCAAATATGAGGTTTGCCATCCCAAAACCAGCATCAATGACCACAAAATGAAAATTTACTCTTTAATTGTTCGAAGTCATGGTCCGTATATAACATACAGACCAATTATATTACGGACTGACTTCTAGTGCTGCTGCCCTCTATGTAATGAGTAATTTAGGGGATTTCCCTATTGTTGCCGCAACTGGACGTGCCGAAGCATTCAAAGTGGCCAAATTGGAAGCAATCATTCAATGTTGGTGATGCACTTACCCTTATTTTAGCGGTTGATGACAGTGGGGCTTAATAGGCCTCAGTGACCTTGGTGAAAGTTACTTGGGACGTCAAAGGGTTAATATATTCTTATTCTCCATATTATAAGCTTTGAAATGATTCATCATTTACTGGAATCGACTTACTATTGCCAAAGTTATGAGTAAAAGTATTACAGCTTCTCTGTACTAAAGTATACAATGCTGCCGCATTCTTATGCTAATTACTCAGTTTAACATTTAGCGACAATACGCTGGTTTTAGAGTGGTGGCATGCCTCATACATACACTTTCATTTGGGTAAAACAAACACTTGTGCAATTTTTACATGAATTTAATTGTAGCTTGGAATATGATACTGCATTATACATGTTTTTAATTGATTGGTTAATTAATTTATCAATCAATCAGTCAGTCAGTCAGTCAATAAGTCAGTCAGTCAGTCAATAAGTCAGTCTAACTGTTACTAGATTGTTAACAATATGCTTTCTGTACAGCACCAACAGTAATACCAGATGTAATACTTTAAACAAGAGAAGACTTTTAGACCATACAGAATACAGAACTTTTATTGGTCTTGTGAAAGTAAAAGTACAGTACAAGAAATTACTTCGTTGTTGGCAAACCATAAACACAGCTAAAACACAATTAAAAAAAATAAACACAACTAAACACAATTTTAAAAAATAACTCAGTTCAGCTTGGAATAAGAGACTTACTGAATTATTCACTTTTTAAATTATACACTTTTTAAATTGATTAGTTAATTAAGTAAATGTTTGATTAATCGATTGATTGATTGATTAAATGAATGAATGTTTAATGGACCTTTCTGGAGTGTCAATCAAACTTAACAGCTGACCAAACAAAATACGCAGGTGTCCAACAAACACACATGTTGTCTCACAAACGCATGTGTTAATGTACAAAATGCACAGGTGTCCAACAAACACATGTCTGACAAATGCATGTGTTAACATACATGTACGCAGTGGTTTTGCGGGGCCTTAGCAACAATATCCAAGGGGCAGGGCTTAGCGGAAGGTCCATTGAATGATGCTAAAGACTGTTATGCTAAGGTACTAAATTTTTCTAACAAAGATATGTTTTCTATATAGCACCAGCAATAACACCAGATGGGTCATTTGTAACAACTGAAGACTTTGAGACCATGTCACATGCCATGGATCTACTGCAGAATAAGTTCCTACAGGTGATGTCACAGAAGGCAGATCTCAGTGATGTGTGTCAAGAATTGGAGCACAAGAACATGCAACTGCAATCAGAAACAGAAACCATAGGTAAGAAAATGAACGTGAGCAGCTTAGCTACTGTACTTAAATACCGGTCATCAAATTGTGGCTGGTAATCCATAGTGATCTTTTATATCTGATGGGTTGTACTCTATTCAGCTGATACAGCTATAGTGCTGAAACTTGAGTTTCTATAGTACATTGTAACTAGGGGGAATGATGTTTTAACTGTTGGTCCTTTGTACTTTTATTTTAATAACTCTGATTGTTTAACTTAAAGAAGAGTAGTGGATTATCTCTCTCTGTAGAAAGTATCACCTAATAATACAATATATGGCATTTGGAGTGTTCTTTTACTGTATGGACTGATGACTCTCAGTGTCCCATGATACATGTATAGAAAACAAGAGTTACATGAATATTGCAACTAAATGCCTCCCTCTAATGAAAGACCCCTCCAATTAAAGACCACCTCCAGTTAAAGACCACTTTTCTGTGGTCCCAAATTAACAAATGTCTTTTATTTTTATTATTCTAATTAAAGACCAAAGCTGCTAAAGGCCATGAAAACTCCGACCCCAATTAATTGGAGGGAGACCTGTATATCTTTTAATCATCTTTATTTACAATTAAGAGTTCTGATTCTATTTTTAAAAAACAATTCGAAGGTAGGGTATAAGTCAAACTTAATTCATCGTTTAAACCAAGGAAACTGAAAATATCATTAGTTGAAGAGTTCTCTATTTAGGAGGTACACAATCAAAAGCACTGCTGTGATGTTTATGTGTTTTTCCTTATCTTGCAGGAGAATATATTTCATTGTATCATAGTCAGAGACAAGTAATGAAGAGGCGTCAGGAAGAGAGGGAACGATATGTAATATCGTTAGCAAAGGAAAAAGAAGTCATGCAGGTGAGAAAAAAAAATTACTGTATTTATTGAATTTACTTAGCACTTGTGGAGCAAAAATCCCTCTTGACACAGGATGTTTGTTGCATGGATTTGTTACATTTATTATTAAAGCTGAGGAAGATGTATATTACATGGATCTGTATTTAATTTGGTTTTTTTTGAAAATGTATAAATCAACATCAAAGGAAAAAAAATAGATTACATTAAAATTTTGTTCTTAATTATTTACTGATATTTGTAAATATTTGTAATTTGTAATGATTATGATTGCTTAAAATTATATATTTTTTTTAACAGAACAAATTAGCTCAGCTGCAGAATCTGGTGATGCAGTTATTGGGAGAGAAGTCCCAATTGGAGCCCCAGGTTTACCATTCTACTGATTTATCCATAATCTCTGATGAGACTGTATCAAGTAGTGATGGCCACATCCTGCAAAACTCAACCTACAATGCCATCAACGGTCCAATACACAACAAAGTGAAGCAAAACAAGAGCCTTGGAGGTAGTTTAGACAGTACTACATTAGATGGTGAGTGGTTAAATAATTACTTGGTATTCACATTATGTGTATGCCAGTGCTATTCTTTACTTATACTATATACTATTCCGCTACAGTTTTCCCTCCAAATTCGAGACCACTTTTGTGACCTGAAAATTTCAGCCTCCAATTAGAGGGTTAGCTTTGTGTTGGTTGTTATTTTGTTCATTGAAAAAGTGGTCTCAAATTAGAGGGGTCTCAGAATTAGAGGAGTCTCAAATTGGAAGGTGCACTGTAGTACTATTTCTCACTATTTCTACTATTTACAATTAATATTGGTATTATTGTTGATAAAAAAAAAAACTTTTACTCTTATTAATTTTTCTGATTGGACATTGAATTATTAATTCCATGTAGATAATCACTCAGTTGACCACAGCTGTTCGATCTCGATCTTTAAGGAGCTAAAGTGCATGGTTCATTGGACCAAGAAATTCTAATTTAAACAGGGACTTACAGTAGATACCTACTTGTTATCATAGATAGGTACTTCATTTGATTTTCCTTTTCATTCCTTTCATTCCTATGTAGACTACAGTGATGATTGGTCATCAAGTGACAGTGTTGAGGAAGCAACGGAAGGAAATAACTCCTCTCCCATGCACTTGCCAAAGGCACCTCACCACAACCACATTCCACATCGAGAGAAGACGGCACAACAGATCATGAACCTTCTGGAACAGATCGGTGGTCCAAACATCATCGACAGAGGCACAATTCTTGATCATAATTTTCTACCATGCAAATGTTGCGAAGGACAGATTATAGATGTATAAAATCCCTTTGAATACAAGAGAAAGAAAACTAGTTATGGAAATTATTGAATGTTGTGTGTATGTGGCAAACTTTAATTTCATTGCAGTATTCAACTCTTTCCTGTAACATCAGTAAATCTTTAAAGGCTTCATTATATTTTGTCTTGGAGCATCACAAATATTTGTAATCACTGTTGATGGCTTGGGAGTTTATCACATTTGTTGCCATCCAATATGACAAAGCTCTCTCCCTTTCACTATAATTTTTAAAAGTAGATATGTTGCTAGTTGCACATAAAATATGATGATGAGAATAATGGTGTTGTAAGAAAGATAATATGCGAATGTAGATAATGAATATTATGGTATGCTTGATATACTGTACTTGAAATGATTTGAACACCCTGACTCAGGTGTTTGATACAATTTAAAAATAACATTTAGGAGTACATGGTACAATTTTTTGTGGTTATTTAGTCCTCCAAATTTGGTATCATTTGGATTAAGGTTATTTCAAGCTTTCTGAAAAAATGAAGAAATTCTCTCATTTAGTTATGAAAAAAATTATGAAATTAATCAAAATCCAATGAAAGGTTTTCCCTGAAACAATCTCATAATTGTATAAAGATAATTCCTGATTGTGATACCTATTCTTTGCTGGAGTCAACAGTATCTTCTGTTTTTTTTATTTATTTAAATTACTAGATATATGAATATTGGACGACTGCTAGAATATTAATATTGATGCTATTATGATTGATGAGCGCCTTGCATCTCTTGGTAAAAGGCGCTATGTGAATCTCTAAATTATGTAAACTGGATGTAGCTAAATTTGGGGATTTTACCAGATTCAGTGGCATGTTTAATCAGGGACACTCCACCAATATATTATGTATATATATATATACATGTATATACATATATATATATACATGTATATATATTATACATACAATAAAACTACTGTATATGTACATACAGTATAGTATACATACACTATATAGTAGGCTTATGTACTACATTTTGTGCACTACTATATAATTATCAATGTATATGACTTTCGATAGTTAAAAGAGGAGTCTATGGGTGTGAAGTAATTCTCCCAACTAGGATTGAAACACTAGAATTTCTGCTCTCTATACAGATGTGTTAACCAACTGGAAGCAAGTAATTTCACACTCTTAATTTAACATTGGACCTACCCCTGGTATTTTCATTATAGCTTGAAATTATTCACTTCAGTAGCATAGTAGATTCTATTTTTATATGGCATTAAGGATGTATACATTTTACTATCTAAATACCTGTAATTTGACTTCAAATTGTGTTGGGATTTTTTTTCTATATGATTTTTTTTACGCTTTGTACTTACTAAAATTCAATCAAGTCGATTTGCTGAGGTTGTTTGGTCGTATTCTCAATTTTCAGTTCAATTTACCAAAATATTTATTACATTTAATAATAATTTGTCTTGGATACTTAAATTCCTAAGTATCCTAAAAAATGATTTATTGTTAGGTTTTGCCTTGTGTTTTCCTAACAAATTTAAAGAATTTTTCATTCATTTATTTATTGTTTTTATGTAATTATTATTATTATTATCATTATTATTATTATTATTATTATTATTATTATTATTATTATTATTATTATTATTATTATTATTACAGTGTTATTGTTGTTATTACTATTATGAGTAATGTACTATAGATTGCAACTTCCTTCAGACATGTATGCTTTTATGCAAACTTTACATAGGAATTGGTGTGGAGTTAACAACATGGAGAACTCAAGGTGCTTGGATCCTTACACTGGCTCTTCATGTGCATTCATTATAAATACATCATTTTGTTAAACTTTTTGCCAGTTGTAGGTACTGTAAATTATATATGTTTTTGTTTGCTTTACATTTAACACAATAAGTTAAAGCTGTATTTTATTTAATAATGAAGAATTTTATTTTAATTCAAATTGAGATGGGAAAATGAGAAGAGAAATATAGTTATAAATGCTGTAGATATTTTGCATATTGTCAGTGGTCTTTTACCTGAGTTGTTGGACTTTTCTTTAAAGGTATATAAATATATTAAGCATGGAACTCAATTTTAGATGTGTTTTATTTTTATTTTGTAACATACAAAGCCACATGAGTGAGGCATCAGCCTTAGTACTACAAGACTATTATATTGATGACTTTCCCAGGACAGTACTAAATAGAAAAGGAAATTGTTAATGAGTAGTCATATTACACATCATATTTTGGTTTACAATGCCTTTTTTGGGCACACTACTACACACTTAGCTTGTTATTCCAATATCATGATCATAAGGTGGTTTTACAATACCATAAAATAAATATTTCCGTTTATATTTCTGTCAACATCTCAAGACATCCCTTTGCAGTAAAACATAATCTTTCTTTATTCTATCAAAGATTCTTACAGAATTGATAATATAAAGCATATCTTGAATTAACTAAGCCAAACCGAAAAAAACGGACGTGGCAGACATTTACTCTTTCCTTAATCAAATCTAAACCGGGGATACTTAGAACAGTCACAATTAGTTCAACTGGAAACGATTACTCTATAATTCAAATTTCCAGTTGTTTTATTGAACAAGTAAATGTATTCTTAAGCCAACTGTCACAATTTTGTTAACTTTCAACTCATTCTTAAAACATGATGCAAAATTCGCAAAAATAAGTAATCAGTTTGCGTAGAGACCTCGTTTATTTGCGCTATATATTAATCCATCTATTATTATTATGTTAATCCTCATGAACTTTTCACCACCAGTACTACTTGCCCTCTGATATTGCATTTAAATATACATGTACTTTATTCCTTCCTCCCAGGGAGTTGTTATTTAGAACAACTCCCTGTTCCTCCTAAATATATAAAGCAAATAATGATTAATATTTAAAAATGTTTGTGAATAAGTAACGGACTCATTCACAAGGTGGTGACTTATTTGTTTATAGGAGGCATGCAAGTAAGCCCTCTACAGACAATGATTGCAGAAAACGTAGATCATCAGATCACGAGAACAAAAATGGCTGCTCAAACTCAAGGAATCCAGCAACTTTTACAAGCTGAAAAGAGAGCTGCCGAGAAGGTTTCGGAGGCGAAAAAACGTAAGAACCATTTATAATACCTAGTAAAGAGACTTGGTTAACTGGAGGGGTTTGAAACTTCAGTGTATGTATGATATATTGCAGCGGGTGTGCCGCTCGGTTAGTTAGGCCTTAGCTTAGGCTAACGAACAAGTTCAATGTGTGTCGATTGCACAGCCACCGGACGTTAGTGAGCTGCTAAATGGTAATTGGATGTAGACCTAGGGCCTAGCCTAGGCTGCATGGTTTAGGGCCGTTTCGGCGATTTATGGAACTCTTCGTTTCATTGAATGACTAATGATTATCATAATACTGATACTTCCTATTAATTGGTTTTTTTTATTGTAGGCCTAGGCCTACTTTTATCTTTGTAAAATAATGGGTTTTAATGTGGGCTAGCCTAGGCCAGCACCTCGATTTTAGGAAATTTTATTGCATGTTGTAATTTTTACTTGCCATTTTTGTTGATTGATGATTTTTTATTGTACTTACTTTTATCTTTGTAAAAATAGGTTTTGATGTAGAGCGCTTTGATATTTTTTTTTTTTTTTGTAAGGGTGCTATATACAGTAAATGTTTATTAATAATAATAATGATAATAACAATTACTAAGTATAATATAATTATTATAAGAAATTTGTAGACCCTAGGTTCCAACTATTACCTTAAAGCCCCATTCCCAGCAAAATTTCAGTTCTTAGAAAAATCTGATTCTTATATGTTATAAAAATTTATAAATATAATACAGAATTGCTAGTTTAACTGAATTTAGGCATTCCTAAACATGAAGAAAATGTTACATAAGACTGAAATTTGAATTTTTTTATGTTTGATTTTGCGATAGGCGCCGGAAACGGGCTATCAACACTGCTAGGCTACATTACTAGCCCTTACCTCGACTTAGGTTCTGTTATCAGACATAAAAACGGGTGACACAATTAAACAAACATACCTTAGGCCTACTCGATCGACCGCAGTGTGCAAGATACGAAGTACAAAAACTATTCTTATTAGAGATTGCACCCTTAATTGACTGTTAAAAGTATACACAAAAGCATCATAAAAGCGAGAGTATTCCAGCGAATACAATCTACACAACCTCTGAATATGCCTAGTAATGAAGTCATCTAGAAAATGATAATCTCCTATGAGAAATACTTAGTCTCTGCTGTATTATTATTTCTCATTTTTTTTATCCTTTTGCGAAAAACTAAAATTTATGCCTTGATATTTTTCCATGGTTTATTATAATAATTAGAGTAATGCATGCATTTTTCGCCGGGAATGGGGCTTTAAAATATAATTAAAAAAATATTGTGGGAAAGGCAAACAAACATGTTTTATTTGTGTCAATTCGTAAAGCCTTGGCCAGGCATAACATACAAGAAACGAGTGTAATTCTCGGTCTTAACAAACTTAAAGTCAGGCTCTGGAGGAAAATTATTGTTTAATAGGTATGTTGTACAACTGATTCTTCTAAGACACAAAAAGCATATTTGACAAAAAATATGAGATAATGAGATACAGATTTTTGAATATTTCAAAACTGAGGGGAAAATGCGGGTAACCACCCTTTTTTCAACCTTTTTCCCCCCCAGTTTTTAAATTTTCAAAAATCTGCATCTCATTAACCGCTCACAATTGTTTTTGTCAAATATGCTTTTTGTGTAGAAAAATCAGTTGCACAATATATAAAAAATTGTTTTCCTCAAGCCTCACTTTATTAATTCTCACTGGCCAAACTGTAAAGTAAGGCCTGCGCAGGGAATATATAGATGTATTCATCATCCACAGTTTGTGGATGATGAGTACATTGTATTCATCATCACATTTTGTGGATGATGAATACATCGTGGCCTAAACAGATGGCATTCGGCTGCATTTGTGTATGTTTCGTACAAAACCTCACTTCCGAGTATACTACTGTAGTACAGGTGGTGTGGCTCACTAGCTGGCTTACTGCCACTGCACTGAGACCTAACTATCTAGTGGTGGTTGGGCACTTAAATCATCTAACAAATTGTTACCATGTGTGGTTCCTAAATTTCTTTTAATTTTGGTCTTTAGGAAAGGCCAGGAGATTGAAACAAGCAAAAGAAGAAGCTCATGCAGAAATAGAGAGCTATAGGAAAGAAAGGGATACACAGTTTGCAGCTATACAACAGAACGTAAGAAAATCAAGCAGTACATTCATTCTTTCTCAATTACATACTGAGACTTTTACAGTATTTCTTCACTTTTAACAGATTTTTTAGGAATACTGTAATCGTAATTCAAATAGGCCTATATTGTGTAAGCTGAATAATGTAATTAAGTTAAATTTATATGGCAAATAATTTCTACACAGAACTGAAAATAAATATTTATAGATTGTACCTGTGGACTGAACATCTAGGATATATATGATCTAATTGTTCAAATAGATTTCCAAGAAATAGTAACTGGTGTAAAATTTCTATTTCAATCAATGTTGCATCCACCTAACCATCTATTATTTAAAAGCATTAAAAAAAACAATAATAATGGTGGTACGGCGCATTACCTTTTCCCGTCGTAGACAGTTACCCGTCATAGATACTTGCACAGGAAGATTAGCTATTTATTTCAAATATGCATCAAGTATGTGTTTATTTTTTAGTGTTTAGTCTTGGAGATTTATTTTCAAATGTAATACTGTAAAACCAGAGAAGTAGTTGGCAGCCAAGACCCTGTCTGGCAGCAGAGAACTAAAGTTCTATGGGAGTAAATGCTCCTAAAAGCCAACCAATTGAGTATAAACATTGGTATTGATATATACATCTCTCATCTTGTTTCTTTACAGTACATGGGGTCAAAAGGAAGCCAGGCAGATGAAATAGATAAACAAACAACACAGAAGATCTATGACTTACAGCAGAGAGTAAATGAAAACAGAGATGTAGTTTTAGAACAATTGTTTGACCTAGTTTTTGACATCAAAGCAACAGTGCATGAAAATGCTAGGTTGTAATATTAATAGGTGAAATATATGATAGTTCTCTAAAGTTTGACATAGGAAAATGGACTTTGTATGCATGAGAATGTACTAGGTAATCATCAACAGTAAACAGTCTATTTCATGTTTTGATATTGAAATCCTGCAGTAGTACTGTATCTGCACTTGTGATTACTAATTGGTTCATAAAAACTTGTAATTTATTGTACTAGAAAACATAGAAACTAGAGTATTAACAGATATTTTGGTTGGAAAACTATGATAAAATTTTATTTAGTGATGGGTTGGTATATGTCATTGTATTTAATTAATCAGTAATTATATAATTGGAGGAAAAAATCCAATTTAAATTTAATGAAATTTATATTTACTACCACTGGTGTTTTCTGAAGTTAAAATTGCTATGATTTCAAATTAAATAATCAAGTTGCAATACTTAGTTAATTTTTTAAGTGTTAATTTGATTATTTAAAAATTGGGTTTTTATAATATTTAGGTTTATGTTTTATTTATGAGGGATCTACAACTTAATATCGCTATGCAAATCTTGATTGTCAATCATAAATTATATAGGTTTCTGCAGCATTTGTGGCACTAGAGGACATAAGTTCCCTGTGTGACGACCAAAACCCACATTGGTCATGACTTGGACCAGGAAAAAATACTACACAAATTCTATGGGCATAGTATGATCTCCGTCCCAGCTAGTTTGCGCCTGATACCCCATCAGGCAAATTCTAGCACCACCTGTTATTTAGTACAGTAGCAGAAAGAATTGCCTGTGGCTGTTGCTGATGTGTTATCCCTTACTGCTATAGTGTGGGGTTAATTTCCTTGTTATTATGTTACTTTAGTAAACATAATTGGCATTCCATAAATTTATGTTTGTGTTTTTATTAATGGAAACTCTAATAATGATGTATAGTATTCAAATCTTGCAATGTTTATAATAGTATAGAACAAAGAATACATACTAGTATATGGGATGCATTTGGCAGAAGAAAGCATTGTAATGCTGGTTGTACCATTATATTTGTTTGTTTTGTGCCATGGTAAATATTTGAAATAAAGCATAGCAATACATAGTGAACATTGACTTGTGTAGATTGATGCACATCATGGTGTTGCATTCTCCAGGCCAAATGTTGATAAAATGTTACCTTCTTGTATTGTAGTAGTAAAATAACTTGCTAATAACACAATTGACTAGAGTGGTAATATTTATTAAACAATTTTCAACAATCTTGCACATAATGGAAAAAAATTTAATAACACTATCATAATTTATATATTTGCCAGCTTTACTCCCAAATACCTAAACCAACATTGAGCATCCAAAAGAAGCACCGTAGTCTTCAGTTAATCAGTAATGGCCAATAATATAAATATTTCAATAGTTAGGAATTATACATGATTAACTGTTCAACAGGATATTAAAATATACTGAGTACTAAAATATACTGCTAGTAAATTACCGAAAAGTCATGCATATGGTGCGGTATCAAATTAGACCTTGTTCCGATTGGACTTTCCTTAGTCCCAGGAAGACTGACCAATCTGTTTCACCCAAGAACAACAGAAGGCCAATGCACACAGAGCTATCTCATTTCACTGATATTATATTCAGAATGTATCCACGCTAGGACCGACCACGCATGATCAAAATCTTGCTTTGTAAGGCATACATTATTGCATATTTAAATACAAGAGCATACAGTAGTACGATTTGACTAAGGTAAAGTTACCCTTCATGTTAGTCAAAATAATTCCAATGCAAACTTGGTTGTCAGATATATTTCTGTAAATCCAAAAATTTTATTAACACTACTGAAGTAATACAGTACATAAATATACCAGGAAATGTTTTAAATACTATTACATTTTATTGCTGGGTATCTGAAAACTAAATCATATTCATATATATCGAATACATATTAATATTGTAACATTTTAACACCCAACACTTGGGTATAGTGTATTGTACTGAGATATCTATTTCTCTTAGTATTTCTGAATTTCAATTGCAATATATTATATACTTTCTAATATTACTATATATTCAAAGCAGATCAACTGCTATGCTAGCTCTTACCGATATATACTCTAAACAGGTGTCCTCCAGGAGTCCCTTATGTCCTGGAAATCTGAAGGTTTCCCTTATCACGAGAGTGACCAAGCATCTCCCTCAAGTATTTTACTATACTGTAATATTGTCTTCGTGAAGCCATCCGTCCATGTAATGACCACCCATGGAAAAAAAAGTCTCAGTAAATCTGAACTTTCTAAAAAGGATCCAAACATGGAACCTCTGAGTCTGTCCTAAAGTGAATGAGGATTTATCCAGGTTTAAAACAAATGTATAACAGCTTATCCTATATGTTAATATTTGAATATAGAAAAGAAATTTAAATAAGCATTATATTCTTATAAGATCTTTGAGGACATTTGTAGGTTTCTTTCTAATAACTTGTACACAAGAATTAAAATTAAAACATTACATTATTATACTTGATAATAGTTTTGAAGGTCAATCTATTTACATTAGGCACACAAAACATCAGAACCTAGTCTATAGAGGTAACATCACCTGACCAAACATCTACTTGAATTGACACTCATGTCAGATATGCAAATTTTACTGCACACAGGTTGTTTAGGAAGACAAGTAGACAGTTTAGCGCGGTCGTCCTGGAATGGGTGGAGCAGCTTTATTGTCTGGCCGTCTGAAATTTAAATTTAAAAAAAAGTAAATTACAGTTAATCTTTATATCATTTACCGACATACCGTACTTATATTATTTAATACATTTAAGTCTTACCTTGGTACACCAGGAGCTGGTCTACTTGGAATATCTGGTCTGGCGGGAACACTGCGGGGTGGTGGAGCTGAATGTCCAGATGGCCTTGGGGGAGGTTTTCGTCCTGCAGGCTGTACAGGGGTTGGACTGTACAAAAGGAAGAATCAGTAATTATTTTTTATATATATATTTTTCTTGTCTTGTAGTAACAAGACAAGTATATTCCATTGAAAGAAGGCTTCTTAATAGTGTGTATTACAAATATCATAAAAATAAACATACCCATTAGAGAATGGCTGAATAAGGTTATCATTATCCACACGAGGCGGCATCGGCGTGGATTTGGTTTTCATACTTATATCACCAATGATCTTTAGTGCATCCTTAGTTGCATGGTACATCCGGATCATCTCTTCCCGACGCTCGGCTTCTTCTGCCGACTCCTCCATCAGGTCATTCTGGTCCCCAGATGAGTACAAGTAAGCGAGCAGATCAGACTTTATAAACTCCTTAGTCTGGAAAACAACAGTTTATTGGAAAAAGTAGTTTTTATAGTAGTATAAACAGCATAATTATCTGTTGCTAAAATAACCTAGCTTGCATAGAATGTAAAATAACATAATGATTTCAAATGTATTTTTAAAATATAACAATTTAATAATATATAATAATTGTTAGCATTTATGATGTGCTTTCCACATTTAAGTGATGTAAAGCTATTTACCGTTATTGCCTTGGCCATTACTGGAAAAATATTTATAATAATAATGTTTAAAGGTTTGCATGGCGAAGTACAGTAATAACATATATTAACGCTTGCGGTACACCACGTAGATAGTTCTGAAAAGAACTGTTGTTGGTTGAAATAATAATACTTACATCTTTGATCAAAATGCACATGATTGTTTTGGGTACAATATCTCGGACTTGCTTGCTGACTATGGCCGTGTACGAATCTACTAAGTTTCTAATAGTCTCCACCTGACGTTCACGAACCGGATCATTCGAATCCATATCATTCATCTGTATAGAAAAAATTTTAAAATCATACCATATTCAAATTCATATTAATCATAAATTCATATTATTCACTAGCAATACATAACCTATGAGGATGCCCTTGTTGGTCTCGGGCTGGAGCGTCTCAGTGACTGCCAGGCCAACTTATGCATTAGGTTTGCTAAAAAGCCACCCTAAGTGAAAGGTTCTTACATTGGTTCCCCAATGCAATTCGAATCTCAGTATGCAACTTCGAAACATGTGGAGATATGGAAATTTTGGCCGTTCTACCACAAAATTTAAAAATAGTCCTCTGACATATCTCATAGCTCTTCTTGATTCTTTAAGATAACAAGGAAATTAATAATCTAAATAAAATTAATTACAAAAAAACTTAAACTTTAAATTTTGTTTTTCATTCCTGATGATAATTTTTTTCATTCCTGATGATGACATAATTAATGTCGAAATATTGAATCCCAACAAGATGGCGTGTATTTCAATACTTGGAGTATGTATTATACTTTCTTAAATTTTGTAACGTTCACCTTTTCCTCATTTCTTTTTCCTCATTTCTTTTCCCCCATTTAATTTTTCTTTTTTTTTTGTCTCAGGGTTGCTGGGAATGCTCTGGTCCAGGAGTAATATGTTATTGTTGAGGTTGGCTCCACCGACCATTCCAATCACCTGACATTTTAAGCTTGTCTCTTAGAGCTGCATCAAACATAACAGATTACAAAAAAAAATATTAATAGAAATACATATAATATAACATACATACAAGATGTGTATAAGAGACAGTTTACATACTCCTCCTGTCTGGTCATCATCATCTTGGTTCCTTTCAGGGTAAACACCAGCTCTTAAAAATGATGCCTTCCATCTGTAACTGGAGTCCTCATTTTCGCAAGATAATTCCAACTGCTTGTAGTCTTTGTACACATTTCTATGAAAACAAAGTTTAATAATACTGTTATTTATGTTATTTGCTATTGTGCATAAAACCTCTGACTCCAGGATTTGAATTTAAGACCTTGAGATGGGAAAGTAGGCACTAATTAAGTACTAATCTATTCCTTGTTTGAATAAACAAATCAATGGCGATGTTTGTAAACATACCTAAGTGCTTTTTTTTTTGCAGACCTTACATTGAAAGTGATAGAAGTGGTTTTTTTTTTGCAGACCTTACATTGAAAGTGATAGAAGTGTTTTTTTTTTTTTGCAGACCTTACATTGAAAGTGATAGAACTGTCTGTCCTAGCATGCTGTAAAAGAACATGAAACAACAAGCCAGCTGCCACATTCCTTTTTCATTTATACCAGGAATCTACACATGTTGAGAACCCTTTTTGAATTTTGAAATGTCAGTTAGAAACTACATTTAATGATTACCCCACCTGTGATCTGGATTGAAGAGAGCAAATGCATGCTTCTTGGACATGAAACCTTGCTCAAGATCCCGGAGCATCAACCCTTCAAGGGGCAGATAGAACTTCTTTTCTTTCTCCTAAAAAACAAAGCAAGATGTTAAAAAATATACTGTGTATCTGAAAAATAAAAAAGTTAGGATCCAGAAGTTTGAAATAGAAGTGGCCCAGAGAGGGACTTTCAGAGATAGAGGATCGATACTACCTCGGCTCCACTGTGGTTGGGGCTGAAGTAAGAAAATTTATGATTATGGCACCAGAAATGGTACTCTTAGATTCAAAATTTGAGTAGAATTTTCTTTTTTTCTAATTTTTTTTTAAATTTTGAAAAATTTATGAGGGTAGGGGCAGGCCCCCTGGCACCCCCTCCCCCACCTGAATCCACCACTGTGCTTTTCTGTGTAACAACGTCTAGTAATATCATATACACAATATATGATGACAAATTAATAATTTGACACAGAATTCTTGATCATTACCTCTTCATCCTTATACCACATAAAGTTCTCGGCAGTTAATACGAACCAGTAGTCACGTGACCCACCCTTCATGAAGCTGATGTTGTGAAGACTCATCCATCCTTTACAAATTACCTAGGAGAAGAAAAAAATGTAAACAACTTGTTATTGAATACTCTAATTAAATGGTGTCCTGTTTTGGTCTTGAATAATGCATCTCCCATCTGCATGATAGCAGTATATCCAGCCTTTAAATCTCAAGTCTATTTCCTCCCAGTCCTACAAACCTGACTCTTCTCTAAGCAACACAGCATTACAGTAGAAACATTTTTGTTTTAAACAATGGCTTTTGGTGAAAATGTTTACTCTAATTTTGTTATTAGTTAGCATTATGTCAACTTTTAAAAGCCTAAAATATTTCTTTGATATCTGAATATTTGCAATACACTGGTTACTACAGTTAGAAATTTTTTTTTTTCAAATACTGAAAAATTACTAGAGAGGATAAAATATTAAAAGTAAAGCAACTGGTGTTGAGTTAAATAAAAGATAAAATCCAACATTTGAAATGCTCTTTCTTGCTTGCTTTCTTGTTTCAGACAACCACTGTTGTACTATATAATGAGGCATTGAGCATGTTTCTCCAGGGAAATTTTCAGAAAGAAAAAAAAATCTTTTTCTTGGGAGAAAAATATTTATTATTGCTTTCGGTTAAGGATATGTCAAACAGCAAATTTAATCACTATAAAAAGTGGCATATCCCTTCACAAGAAAAACATAAACAAAAGATGCTCTACATAAAATAACTCCCATTAAGAGGGACCCTGGGATTGGAAGGCAAGCTATTCAACTCCACTGGAATTAATAATTCTTATTTGTATTTAGTAGTTGTAAAAGCAGAAATAATAACAAAAAAATTAAAAAATACTTGAAACACTTTTGATGTATGGATTTCCTTCTTAATGCAATGTCTTTATCAATTATTTGAAAACAATATTAAAAGAAAGTTGAAAAAATATAAATTATTCCTAGAATTTATTCACTTTAAAGAAAAATATTTTTATTATATACAGAAATTGCATTGATTGTAACATTGTTAGAATAAAAAATGTTAATTCAGGAATCAATTTCAAATGGAAAACAAAGTGAATGCAACAAAAAGGCTGAGGCCAACAAAATACACAATCCTGCCAAAGACCGCACTGCACTGTGTTTTTACTTACTATATTATCGCTATATTGTCGCCTTTCTTTTTTGGATGATTTCTTTGAAAAAACAAGTACCAGTACTAATAAAATTGATAGCTATTGTCATCTATTTTTAAAATTAGAAATTATTGAATGTTTGTACTATTAATTTACTTTTTATTTAGGAAAATACAGTATTTGATTCTAAATGTTGTTTGAATGTTTGCATAATGAATAAATAATATCTGATCGTAAAATCATATGTCCGTTTTAACTGTAAATTATATAAATAATTAATAGTTTTTATGTTTGCTGTATACAGCATGGATGTGAAAAAGACTGACTATTTCAACACTCTACAGTTTTAGTTGTTCTTGTCAGAACCATCTATTTTGTGTACTGCAAACAAACAACCAATTATTTAATTCTTTAAAATAAGCAATTTAATGTTTTAACTTCATTTTTAGCGGTTATTTTTCAAGATTCTATCATGTATAATATAGCTTTCAAAATGAAATATTTAATACATACATATCCTACACCAAATATAGTAAATTATTTTTCATAACTATACATTACTTGGCCTATACTTGATCAATACAAGTAAATGATTAATGTTTTTGTATATAAATTATTAAAATGATATGATGGATGCATTTAGCTATGAAATCTATACATGATTATGCATTAATATTTAAATTTAAATAGGGCTTACACTTTACATAGATTATCACCTTTGCTTCTGCTAAGTAAGCTGGTGGTGACATGTTGGCATCTATGTTCAATGCATGTGATTTATAAGAAGTTTTATACTGTGTTACAGTTACTTTAATCTAAACAGACACTAGACAAAGTTGTTAGATTTGTGTACTACAGAACCTTGAAACACTATATGTTGAACCTTGAAACACTATATGTTGAACCTTGAAACACTAGATGTTGAACCTTGAAACACTAGATGTTGAACCTTGAAACACTAGATGTTGAACCTTGAATACACTATATGTTGAACCTTGTAACACTATATGTTATGTTGAAACACTATATGTTATGTTGAACATTGAAACACTATATGTTGAACCTTGAAACATTATATGTTGTTAATGTTTTTGTAACTAAAGTTAAAATGAAGCATACAAAAACAAAAAATTGGTAATGGTAAATGGTGACATTGATAATTATGGTACTGGTGGCAGTAAGCCTCACCATCATCATTAATACTCAATTGGTATAAACTTACCTGGTTACCCACACTTTTCTTCTCACCTGTCCTCCGATCAGCTTTATTCTGAGCACTAAATAAAAAAACAGACAACTCTTAGATAAGTAAATATATGACCAGAATTTTAATACCGTAAATATATAATCTTCTGTAATGTAATATATTTGTGTACAGTATATGTGATATCAAATCAAATTGTACAAAACCAAAGGAAACATTAAGTGGAAACTAACTTTGTAAAGCCAATGAAGTCCTCGTTGTTTGTATTCATGTAAGCTAACTGTACATTAAATAGCAGGGTTACATGGTCCTTTGTGCGTTGTTCACGCTCTCGAATGTGCTGCGAGATGATGCGCTCTGTTTCTTCACGTAATCTAGGATAACGCGCCATCTGCATCAAACATAACAGATTACAAAAAAAAATATTAATAGAAATACATATAATATAACATATTATTGTACTAAAAGAACACATGAGGAAAGCAGAAGGAAACGGCGGAAAGCCTAAACACACATGGAGCAAACAAAGAAGTAAAGCTCTGTAGCCAATCAACAAAACAACCAACACTTTGATCAATGATGATTGAGGGCCTGAATTTGAAGGATGGTGCGAAGGCTAATGCTTGGACTAAGACGAAAAGATCAAAAGATGAAGAGCAATGTATTGTAAATAATGTAAAACACAGCTACTCTACTAACAAAAAAAAATCAATCCATCACAGTTACACAGTTACATTACAAGTTTTCATCAACACAACAAAATGACAACATAGTCTGTGTCTGCTCATAAAAACCACAATTTTTTTTTATTATACAGATGGTGTGGCAACTTCATGCTCTAAACATTGTTTTGCTTTCATGAACATGCAACTGTTTGTGTCACTTTCTGAAATGTCTAATATCCAATACATGTCTAGCAAGAAAGCAAATGTAGAGAAAAAAAAAAAATATATATATATATAAATTTTTTTGGTCACATTCTGCTTAATACCTTTTCTCCACATTTTCTGACTATGTCGTTCAATTCTGAGATGACCATATCACAACACTTGAGGGCGGGCTCCTTCAATCTTGCGATCTGTTTTTTAGTGATGGCTTCAAAAGCCATATCTGGAGTGAACAAACCAACTCTGTGGAGCAGAAAATAACCAAGTAAATTAATCTATAACCAGACTGTTTGGTTTAAGCAGTTATCTATGTCCTTTTTTTACATGTTTTTTTATACTTTTAACATGCAATGCTAATTTATTTTTATTTTAAAGCCCCATTCCCGGCAAAATTTCAAATGTGATTTTTATATATGCTATAAAGATTTTTGCTGGTTTAACTGAATTTAGACATTCCTAAACATGAAAAAAAATGTAAAATAAGACTGAAATTTGATTTTTTTGTGTTCCACACAAAAAGTAATGTGGATGGATTTTTCATGTTTGATTTTGGGATAGGTCTGCAAAGAAATATAGTAGGCGCCGATAACATTTGCCTATCAAACACTGCTAGGCTAGGTCTAGCCTTACCTCGATTTAGGTTCTTTTATCACACATAAAAATGGCCAACATGATATTTTCAGTTGCTAGTATTTTCCATGATTTATAATAATTACAGTAATGAATATGCATTTTTTCTATAAAAAATTCATTTTTTAGTGCAATTTTGCTAGGAATGGGGCTTTAAGGACAAATTATTTTAACTGTATTGATAACGTTTGATGGTTTTCAGAATTGAAAATGAAAATGAAAGAAACTACTCTTGTTATTATTATTTCATGTAAGGTACATTCCTTTGTTTTAGTTGCGGTAACCTTTCAACTCCAGTAACCTGAAGTGATCTTAATGATTACAATACACAACAACACAATATACAATACTTTACGAATTCATAACTTTTTGATGATTCACTGAAAATCAAATGGTGTTAAAAAGATAAATACATTTTAATCATATTAATTCTTCACTATAACAGTAAACAGGCATGTAACTGAATGTATAAATAGAATAGTAGATGCAGAACAAACTTAAAATTAAAACATAATCACGTATAGATGCATATGTGGCGATATGCTGCAATAAAGCCCAATCATGAACACAGTACACTGGATGTTTATATTTTCATCAGATATAGGATTAATGAGATCTAAATTCTAACATGTGTGATATTGCTTTTTTGAAGAATCTCTCATTTTATCTTACCGTACACCAAGCGTATTCTGGATTGTGATGCTTATTTCTCTCCGCAGTCTTTTTTCATCGTACTCCATTTTAACAATTTCAAATGGAAATTGAACATGGAAAATGCGGTTGATCTTGGCACCTGATGATAATTCCGTTGTGTCCACTTTATCACCAGATCCAACAAGTATTCTGTCAAAAGTCTCTGAAAACTGCTGTACCATCCTATAAACAAAATATAATGTACTAATTTTAAATAAACTTTTATCAAGCTATAAGTACCTTTCTTTAATATATTATAAACCAGTCACTCGTCGCAAAAATAGATTTTTAGTTACTAATACAGTGTTGAACAGTAAAATGAGAGCTATAAAATGGTAAAAGAATCATTTAAATCTGACATTTCCTTAAGTTACAAGTGTTTAAACATACAGCTGTTCAAAGAACAATATTTGAGAAATCAGTCCTCAAAGTTTATTATTTCTGGCATTTCTCAGGCAGAAACCATCACCAAATCATTAAAAAATGTTGTTATGAGCTACGCTGTACTCAGTGAGCTAAGCTGGTCTCAGTGAGCTAAGCTACTCCTGTCTCTTATACACATCTAGATGTGTATAAGAGACAGGAATAACTTTTGTATAAATCATTATATTCAATAATATTAATAGTCAAAATAATTTGATAAATTCTTCATTGTGGTGCATAGTGTGAGCTTACTGCAGCAATGCCTTGGTCTTCCTAGCAGGGTCATCAGCACGAAGGTTCTTATACTCGCCAACATCTTTCTCCAGCAAAAGCAACTGTCCCTGAAGTTTGTTGCGTAATTGTGGTATTGTGTCACAAATATGATTTGTTAGTTGCTAGAAGAAGGTAAATAAAGAAAATAATTAAGAAATCCAAATGAAATAAATATGGGGTATTTATATTCAATGTATTTAATGTAAGTAAAATAAAAAGAAGCCAGTCTACCTGGTTCAAAACTTTCTGTAAATATGGAGTGCCCATCTTGTTTGCCAAGTGCCTATATGATGCATGACTTAGGAAAAACTTCCTCTCAGCAGCCAAAGCTGCTTTGATGTCCTTCCTGCCATCAATATCTTTTTGACTTCTGTTGACAACACCAACATACCCTAACAAATGAGAATGTGAAAAAATAAGGTAATGAGACAGCCAGAGTTTCCTTAATTCACTAAAAATTTAAGAAAAGTCCAGAAGGAACTGCAACTACCAACATTCTTTATCAGACACATCCTTTACACGATCCTAATTTCTTGGCTAAATAAGTTTAAAAATCTAAAAGTGTTTAAGAATTTTGAAAAAAAAAAAAATATTAAAAGATGGAGTTGGGAGGGGGGGTTGCAATTTATCAATTCAAGCTATTTCATCAAGAGAATTTGCTATTTTGGAAGTAAGTACCTCTTCTTAATGGAAGCAGTCTATTTTCTAGGATGTCTCTGGCATCGGTTCCATCGTCCATTAAATCCAATTTAGTTATCACACCGATAGTACGAGCGCCTAAAATACAGAAAAGATAAAAATAATATTAAATACAGTGAGTAGCTTCAACAACATTCAGTAGAATAATCAGGAAATGAAACAAGAACTAAAATATTTTCTCATCTTAATGCTTTAATTTAAAGCTAATAACTTCCTTAAACATACAAAATAAGTAATTCAAATATTGAATAATATTTTTCAAGGTTAGAAATCAATATATATCAGTGACGATCCCAGTATTAGAAATAGGGGGGGGGGGGGGTCCAGGGAGGGACTTTGATAGGGTTTATACCACTATACCATAACCAAAAATTAGGATTATAGAATCATAGCAATCTACTGTAGATGGCCGAAAATGGCACTATCAGAATTTGAATATCATTTTTTCTGCGACTGTCTATAATTTGGCTTTCGTTTGCAAATTATAAAAATTATAAAGTTCTGAAATATTGGCTGGCAAAAAATTAACATTTCCGGGTTTTCAATCAACTTCAAACATGATAATTGATACGCAGTTTCAAGCTAAGATTTTTTTTTAAGTACGAAGGAAAACTTTATGAGAATTTAATTGAGCAAATCAACAGTTTGGGTTATGTTAAGACACAGCGAGTTATGCTAGTGTAACATTAATCAAGTGGTGTGAACTTGTGCATTGTGTAGCGAACACCAGTATTAACGTGTAATCACTGGCGTACGATAATCCACCAACAGACCTCTGATTAGCATATGCCACTGAGTTATGACAGTCATGCATCATTGATTTTGAACTTGGCCAGGAATTGACCAATCACAATACGCCTAGATGTAAACGGGAAATAAAATGCGCGATTACGAATACAAACATTTCATGCGAATGCTTACGCTAGCATTCGTTAATTGCCCAATCTGGACATCACGCTAGTTATGCCACAGATTAACGTACGCTTGCCGTTAGATATGCCGGGTGTATCTCTCAGGTCTGAACGTAGCCTAAAATTTTAACATAAAGCTAGTGTTGGCTTTTTTTCAAAGTAATTAAACTAGAAAATAAAAGTAGTGTAGTGTCAAACATTACTCTGAAATGAAGCTCACCTGATTGGTCAACCTCCTTGGCGATCTTGAGGGCGTCTGAGTTGGCAAGATCTGCATTTGCTGGCGACACTGCAAGGATTAATGTGTTTTCCTTTGTGATGAACTCCATCAGCATACTACGAATCTGCATTTCAATATCTGCTGGCTGATCTCCGACAGGAACTTTGGTCATGCCAGGCAAGTCAATCAATGTAAGATTCAAAACTGAGAAGTAAAATAAAAGTTATTTAAGCTGTCTAAAACTTTCACTTTTAATTCTATATTAATGGTATACATTGTTGCTTAAGTTCCATTCCATAAATCCTCCAATAAAGATGTATTTCAAAACTTTAATAGCATCTTTAAAGAGACGTAAAATAAATTTTTAACCTTTTAATGTCTTTACATGTTTTTTACCAAATTTTCCTGTAAATTTGTATTTTTTAATGTATCTGTAAATTTCTCCCAATTCAGTTTGATTGTAACTGCTATGAGAAGTAAAATTATCTTGAATCTTAAACTTGAATATCTGAAACCATTACAGACCATTTGGAGAGTAGACTCTGAGGTTGATTGGGGCATTTGAAATGCCTTTGTTTGAACCGGTAGCTCGGTCAGTCTCTGCTTCAATTTCTTTCCTAACTTCATCAAAATCAACAAACTTTTTTCCTTTGCAATGCAGGAACTCAGCATACTCTATAAAAGAAAAGGAACTAGACATTAATAGGAATAATATGACATTCATTAATTGCAGTTGATAAGAAAAAAAATTATATATATGAGCCAAACAGTAGAGCATATAATCAGAATTTAAAAAAAAGTGAAGCAGGGAGGTTTTGGGAGGGGAGTGTCTCAAGCTTACATTGTACATTTTTACAGTAAAGTATTTTAGTAAGCAAATAACAATTAACATCTCGACGAGATTTGATTGACAGATAAACCGACTAATTGTCGAACGTCATTTAGTCACGTGATCAAAAACTTTTTCTCGGACATTTTAATTTCCTTGGACAGCTGGTTTAAATGCGAAACATACGTGAGCCTAGGCCTAGATGTCTATTTTACACGAGCAGTGCGCATCAGTGACTTGGCCTTTGCCGACAACAAGGTAACTGAATGCGGATTTTCTCTCTTCCTTTGGGAGCGAAATACAGAGGCTTTTACAACAATTTCCCCGCCATGTTCCATGAAATAGATTAACACTATGAATATATGATTCATTTGCATACTGCCTACCCTGAATTCTCTTTCTTAAAGAAGGTTGATAGCAAAGAAAATCTTCGCCAACTCGGTAAGTCTAGCCGCCATTGTCTAAGGTTTTTGTGACTTTGTGGGCAGGGCTTCACGTCCTCGTCGACATGTCAATTGTTTTGGCACTGAATACTGGGATTGGTGGTGGCACACATGTGCAGGTTTGCCTTCTACAATAGATCCTCAAAACTTCAAGATTTTACTTGACAATGGAACACCTGAAACGCTTTTCAATTACCTGCTTTATTGTGTAGCAACTGAAGAATCAACGGTCGCCTTGTAACAATTCCTGAGCCACGAGGTAAAAAGTCCCTGAAAAAGAGAGACATCAATTGAACTGTTTATCACAACTTTACTTTAAAAGTATAATGGATTTAGTGTAACACCAAGGATAACCGACAAAAGTTCAAAGACGACTTATTTCCAGTGGTTATTTGGGGAGACAATCCCTACTCTTTCCAAAAGGTGTACTGCATTCCTTAACATGCACAAGGGCCATATTGCACACAGGAGCATTGGCTTAAACCTCTCATCCGAAAGAAGGTGTGCTATTGAAACTTGCATTTTAAACACAAGGAGAACAGAGTGGGGGCTGTCTCTTATCTCCACGGTTCAGTGCACACAAAGTGGCTATCACAGGGTTGCCTATTGAGCTAAGCTACTCTCTTTAAAATTATAATGAATAATTTGGATCAAGTTTTGATTACTATTACACTTGTCCCAATTCTAAGCTGACCCTAGTCTGAGGGCAGAAACTTTGGTAGTAGGTACTGAGCACAGCATTAAACAAATTACTGTATAACCAGGGAGTTGTTATTGTGACTGGAGATCCAACGCTGGCCTCTAAACAGCGATCATAGCCTAAAGGTACAATAAACCTATTAAGAACAAATGAACCGCCAATTACGAAGGCCATTTATGAGCAATAACGAGGCCTTTGATGTACTATCATACACACCGGCTTCAACAGCGCAGCACCGCAGTGGGAGGCGAGGACATGAACAACAAACCAAGTGCCCGATGTTACTTCGATAGTAAAACCCTATGCGCAGTTTAAAGTTCATAGTTCAACTATTGTTCTTCGGATGCTCTGTTGATCGGCATTTCGCGGCCTATATTTCACAGAAAAAAGCAAAAAAATCCGATAATTTTTTGGTTGTCTGTATTCATACGAAAATATAGCTATCATTTATAATGTCTATAATATTAGATGATTTTTAAGCACGATTGAAACACTTTCCTAACGGTTCCTATCGATGAAACCTGGTGTTCTTGGTGCGTAAACATGTGTTCGTACTCAACGATAAACTGTGCCCAAGCGTGTTCGTAGAGAAAACCTCATTATAAATTCGATAATTTGGGAGGCGGTGACGTCATTGAACATGGTTTTTGTTGGCGATAGTTCCTGTTTAGTGGCATAGGTCTGTTTTACATGTATAGGTTTCATGGTTTCATGATTTAATGATAAGGAGTGGGTGTGTGTGTGTTATGTTTTTTTTATATTTCCTGGTGTTCCTCTTTTAATTAAATGTTTATAAAATTAGTTTTAATGCTTTACTTTATTATTTTCAGATGAATATTAGTGCAGTGTATTAAGCAATCCAACTAAATAATATGACAAAAGTATGGCGTTAC